TAAAATAAAAAATTTATATCTTTATGTTTGAAGCCTGAAATGTGGCAAAAGGTTGAAAAGTTCAAGGGGGCCGAATACTTTCGCAAGGCACTGTATATTCCCGATATATAGGTGCATATATAGGAACATACATATCAACAACCTGGCTGAACACATAGAGGGAGAGGGTAAGAAATATCACAACTATAATCCTGATGGTTGGGGAATTGGTAGCTGGATGAAGACTTTATTCGGACACTGGGGTACTACCTTAGTGCAGTATATCTATTGTGATTTTGGTTATTATTATTGTTATAGTTGTATGGTTAAAGAAGCTATCCTCACTATGTTTTGTCAAAGTAACTAATCTTATGCTCGTCCAGCTATCTTAGCCTCTGCTGAGACTTTACGAAGGTGTAAATGAAGATAAAGCATTTTTTGAAATGTGTGCTATAAAAGTGTAAAGAGTGTAGTTGTCCTTGAAAGGACAAAAGGGGGGAATGAGGAAGAATCTCTTTTCTTCAACATTGTTGATCATCCCAATAATAGTGGTGTCATCTACAAACTTAATGATGTACTGTAGTTGCTGCTGTAAGCAGCTGTATAGTCGTAGGTGAACAAGGAGTACAGCCAAGGACTGAGGCAGCCTTGGGGAGCTCCAGTGTTTAGGATCACTGTAGAGGAGAGATTGTTGCTAATTTTCACCTCTGCCCATCAGGAAATCCAGTATCCAGTTGCAGATAGAGTTGCATAAGTCCTTTTTCCTGAGTTTTGTGACCAATTTGGCGGGAACAATTGTGTTGAAGCTGAGCTGTAATCAATAAACAGAATTCTACCATAGGTGCTCCACCTGTCTAAACATTCTAGGGCACTATGTAATGCTAGAGATATGACATCATCAACTGACCTACAGTATTTGGGCAGTAAGCAAACTGAAGTGGGTCAAGGGAGTCTGGCATACAGCAATTTATATATGACAATACTAGGCTTTCCAGGCACTTCATGATCACTGAAGTGAGTGCCACTGGGCGGTAAACATTCAAACAAGTTACCTTGTTCTTCTTGGGCAGTGGCACAATTGTGGTGTTCTTAAAGCACTCTGGTACAACTGACAGGGACAGAGACATTAAAATTGTCTGTACAGTATATACAGGAGATAGCTGTCCTGCACAGGTTTTAAGGACACGAGGGAAGACTACCTGGGCTGGCTGCTTTATGGGTTTTCACTCTCTTAAAGCCTCTACACACCTCATGTTTAGAGAGCTGTAACACAAAGTCCCCTGGTTCACTGGGAGCCTTGATGGACTCGGTGGTCTCAAAACATGAGTAAAAGGTGTTCAGGTGACCTGATAGAGATGCATCAGTGGAGGAAATACCTCTGGTGTTTGCAATAGGCTGCAAGCCTTGCATTGTTTGCCACAAGCTGTTTTTCTAATTTGTCCTTGTATTCCTGTTTTGCCAGTTTAGTAGCTTTCTCCAGGTCGTACCTTGATTTTTATACAGTTCTCTGTCTCCTGATTGGAACGCAGCAGACCATGCTTTAAGTTTAGAGCAAATGTCTTTGTTCATCCAGGGCTTCTGATTGGGATATACAGCATCCAGATCTTCTTAGTAGGAACACATTTATCCACACAGTAGTTGATGCAGAATGTGACCACCTCTGTATACTCTTTTAGATCAGTGGATGAATCTTTGAACACAAAAATAAAATCAGTAATTACAAAACAGTCTGCGAGTTCTTTCTCAGCAGTGTCACCTGTACTGTAGGTGGCGTACTCTTCAGCTTCTGCTTGTACACAGAAAGAAGGAGCATGGAGGCATGTTCAGACTTCCTGAAATGTGGTGGTGAAATGGAGCGGTATGCTCCTTTAATGGTGATATAGCTGTGATCCAGTGTGTTATTGCCTCTAGTGGGAACAAAGAAGTTGAAAATACTTTGACGTAGTACATTTTTAAGGCTACAGTGGTTTAAGTCCCCCGCCACGATAGAAACAGCTTCCGGATGTGTTTCTGTATTTGCCGATGATGCTGTACAGCTCATTGGGTGCCGATTCAGCATTAGCCTGGGGGTGAATGTACACAGACGTCATAATAACAGCCGAAAATTACTTTGGTAGGTAGAAAGAGCCACATTTAATAGTGAAGTATTCCAGATTAGATGAGCAAGATCTGTGGAGAATTTCTATGCCAGTGCATCAAAGATTATTAATCATAATAGTGAAGTATTCCAGATTAGATGAGCTAGATCTGTGGAGAATTTCTATGTCAGTGCATCAAAGATTATTAATCATGAAACACACTCCACCACCTTTCTCCTTGCCAGTAGAACCAGCTGTGCGGGCCAATCTGGACAGCATGAATCCAGCGGGTTGTATAGCGGCATCGGGAACATTGAGTTTCAGCCAGGTTTCAGGGAAACGACGCAGCAGTCTCTCAAGTGTTGAAGCGACAGTGAAGTTCGTTGATCTTACTGTCCAGCGACTGCACATTTGCAAGCAAGATGCTGTTTATTTACCTCTGCTCCCTGGACTCCTGAAGGGGTTACACACACACAGGTTAAGGATTAAGGAGGGATACTTCAGTTTATGTGGGTTACAAGGACAAAGCAGCCAAAACTGACAACTTTTTACAATGGCTCCTCATAAACTGTCTACATTATTTACACTGCCAGGTCAATCTCCGGTCAACACACTGACCTCAAGTCCAGCTCCATGGCCGCTGCTCCCAGCCTGCCTTGCGGGCCCATAGCTAAGGGGAGGTGCAGCCGCTAAAGTGACAGGTGCGCGCGCTACACTATTCTAATGCTAAAGCCCTTGATTGATGGAGCAAGTCAAGCGACCATCACTTTTGATACTTCTAGTTTCTAGAACAGCCCCTAGATAGCATAGGGTATTGATTTGGAGCACCTAGGGTTGATCGCAAGCTTGTTGTTCAAGCTCATTTTTTGTTAGTCACTAGTGTTTCCCTCCTTCGTAGGCCCGAATAATTTCATAAGCCCTGCATTAAAAATCTGGCACTGCATAACAAATAAATAAATGAGAGAACTACACGTGAGACGTTGCCATTGAACAGTGCCATCTTGAAGTGTTTTCTTATTTCAGTTGTTCAGTCCAATTCTAATGATGAAACAGGCTAATGAATGTAAGGGAAAGCATTCTTAATACTCTGGTTTTAACTCTCTATTGCTTGAAGAAGTGATAGTGCTGGTCAGAGATCAGTGCTGTCACATCTCCCCTCACTTGAGAAGATCGCAGGGAGAAACTGCTGCAATGGTGATGCTGGGTGGAGGAATGGGTACAGCATCCTGCATGACTGCCCGCTCTTGTGCTCTTGACTCCTCAGCTGCCTACTTGCTCAGATCAGTCCTGCAATGGCTTTCTTTATTCCGAACCACTGTCTGCTGTCTTAGTTCTTCAGTCTCCAAAGCTCGCCTGCTCCCCGGATCTTCCTCAAGCAGCAGCTTGTTTTCATCCCCGTCACCCACCTAGAGCACCTGTGGTACGACCACCTTGATCTAGGTGCATGATCTGTAGCAACCAGCCCAGCAAACAATATGATCAAAAAGAGAGTGAGCTTCCTGTGATGAGTGTACCGCAAAAAGATAAAGCAATTAAGATTCCGTGCTTAAAGAGGTTTCTTTTTTTTCCTTTATTATTTACATTTGCAGGATTCTCCAACTCTTCATATGATACAGACAGAAACCTCAAAGGTGCAGGTCCTGCGTGGAGGGACTTGTGGGAGGTTCACAGCACAGCATGATAGATACATGTCTAGAACAGAGCTCTCAAGCTCAGCTCCTGCAGTGCCCGTGTCTTTGGAGTTTGGTCCAACCTGAGTAGTCAACCTACAGTAACTATTTTTTTAAAGTAGATGTAAAGTGGCATTTTTCTTAAGGTCTTTTACAGATTATTATCACTGCATTAAAGGTACAGCTACGTATAAAGTACCCTGAAGCCAGGGTTGAAGTATTATGAAGCCAATTAGACCTATTATGTAGCGGAGATTAGGCCTCCAGGAATTGAGCTGGAGACCCTTGAACCAGAAGATCACATCAATGGAGACATCAATCTAGATGGTATATGCTTTTGTCAACCATGAAATGGGAGCCACAAGGCTTCTTCAATGAAGGCCGAAGTATTACAAATCTCTTCCAGCCCAAGAAATGCCCAGCTTTCAAGCAATATTTCCTGTGGCTAAGCCTTCGATCAGTGCTGGCTAAAGCAGCGCAGAGCAATTCCTGATGGAGGTGGACCGACAGGCCGAGTGGGGGCTCAGTGAGGCCAGTACAGCCCCTGAGACAGGCTGGCCCACTCCACTGAAGTGCTCTGCAAGGGAACAGGCTCAGGAGAGGAACTGTAATTGCTGAGATTTTGCTGTAAATATAGGTCTAGTAGTACAACACATATGTCAATGTGAATGGGCTATTAGCCTGAAAAAAAATTGGATTGTTGTTGCTGCTCCCGTTATCTAAATTATCTAAAACTTTGACTTCCCAGCCGTTCACATTTAGCAGTTCAAAAATCATAATCTTTCCTAATGTCATTTCTCAAAGCTATACAGTATATATACTGTAATACAGTATGCCAATCCCTATTCTCTTTTAATTGCGTCTTGTACAGCTTTCAGCAGGCCCTGTGCACCTGCCACAGTGTCACTCCTCGCTCTGTGTGGGGTCCCAACCTCCTTGTCCTATGACCAGGGTACTGGCCCTCAGCCAAGCAGGTTCAGTCAGATTACTGGAGAAACTGGAGGATCAGTTTCTCTTCTGGTTTTGATTCTGGGCTTGGCCTAATTTTCACCTTCATTTGCTTCACCTGACCTTGTTGTAACGGGGCTTTCAGCTGTCGACAATGTGAACAAGATGTGCTATAATCACACTATGACTTCCACATTAAGAACATAACAGCAGTTACAAAGTCATCCCCACCAGCCTGTTTAGCAGTTAGTAGCTACTTGATCAGAAGATCTCATCCAGTTTCTTTAAAGGGGCCAGGGTATTGGCTCCAATAACATGGCTTGGTAGCTTGTTCCGTACTCCCATCACCCTCGGTGTAAAGAAGTGGCTACTGTTGTCAGTTTTTAAGGCACTCCTATGAATTTATTAAGTTGTTGTATATCCACAAGCTCAGCTAGAATGAAGACCAGAAGACCTTGTCCTCTAGTGATTTCTTTGATTCCAACAGGAGCCAGGATTAGGTAAGCTCTATGGACACTGCATTAAAAAGATGAGAGTTAAGACAAGATTTCCCAAATTCATGAGAATTTAGCTGAAGCACCACTGATACATAGTCTTTTGGTTACACACTTTACAGCATTCTGGGCAGCAGGCACAGAGACAAGCTCATGAATTACTCCCTGAGTTTTCCTTCGGTGTGGAAATCTTCCTAGAAACACACTTCCTGCACTTGGCTTTCTTCAGCTTCTTAGCTTGAGCGAGAAATTCAGACACACATGCAAATTAAAAGCCACCTTTATCTACACACACACAATGGTCCAAGTCATTCCACTAGTAGGAGAAATTATCATCAATAAAAATGGATGCTTTACACCCTTTAAAAATGCAGCACCATATATTAAGACTTACATACAGAATGTATCAATATAGATTTTGACAATTAAAGTCAACTTTCCTGGCCTTTTAGAGCGACATTGTTTGAATTGCTCATTTGGTATATTTCAGAAATAACAATGGCAAGACTTACCGGTAAAGAGAACACAAATGTTCCACAGCTTCTGGACAACATAGCAACTACTCCTAAGTGTATATATAAGTGATCATGTTCATATGCAACCAGAAAACAGAAAACTCATCACAGTCAACTATGCACTGCTTACATTACAGTGGAACAGCATCCATACAAAGACAAGACACTGAAAAACTACTACTGGCCAAACTTAAACTGTCCTCAGCCAGGGCGGCACATCACTGTACACAAAATGTGCCGCGGTGCTATAGTTTGAAAAAAGACAAAAATGTGTCATCTTTGAAGCTACAGCAAAATCTACACCCTGCATTTATAAACATCACCAATTCCCCACAGAGTTAGCGCTTCTGCCTAATGGCTCTTGGACTCAATTTGGGACTGGGGTGCCTTCTGTGTGGAGTTTGCGTGTTCTCTCTGTGTGTTCTTGTGCACTGTCTCCAGATGCTCCAGGTTGCTCCCATCTTCCAAAAACAAGCTGGTTCAGTTGAGTGTTGTGTGCTTATGTGAGGCATGAAACAACCCTCCTGTCCAGGGTGCCGTGCTGCCACAGCGCTTACCAGGAATGAGCATTCTTCTGTTGCTGGATGGATGGGTAGCTCATGACCTCAAACCCCTGTGTTCATGACAGGACAAAGACATGAAGCTGTCTGCCCCCTGCAAGCAGACCCTGAGCCACTGCAGGGCGGACAGTTTAATTTAGGACAGTAGTAGTTAAAAACCTGTCACCTGGCCTGAGGAACAAAACAAGACAGAAGCAAGAACAGAATGTAGTTCTCGCCAATGACCTGACAATTATGACATTTTACCACACTTGATTGAGATGCTGTGTTTTTCACAGGTCGCCGTGAGCCCATCTCGCCGCTCCCTCTCTCTGACAGCTGGCGGTGCCATCGTGGGCACCGGCGATCTAGAACCGCAGAGCCTTCGGCACTTCCCAGGGGAACTCCTTTCTCCCAAAGTGTCCGTAACACGCGGTCTTTTGGTAGATTGGACGTTTGAGGTCCAGGTCCCTGACATTTCAGATAAAACCATGGTTACCTCCTACATCAAACACATTAGCAACTTCCTCCAAATGGATTTTGCAGGATCGGTTTTCTTAGTTTCTGATATTTTTTAATAAACCTTTTCTGTTCAAATAATTGGTTAAATTAAATAGTTGGATTTCATGACACAAGACAATTCCTGGGCTCTAGTATTCATTTTACAGTGGATAGAATTAAAACAACTACAGTGTGACTGAAAACTGTTAATTCCACACCGCACAGTGGCAACTGAGGAGAAACTCATCGTGTCTGAAGTGAGAAGACCTGAAGAAGCTAAACAACCAGATTGTAGTTATATTCTTCACTTTTGACTGAATTAACTGAATTTGACTGAAGTGATTAATTAACTTCTACGCCATCCCTGGTTACTCGGTCTTCAAGCATTCTGTATCACAAGAAAAAGTGAGACGTTCACCTGACAATGACCCCAGGTCGGAGGTCAAAGTTCTTGTCCACAATCTCCAGCAGTTCCTTCTCGGTCCTTTCGGAAGAGCCGTAGGTGAAAAGGGAGATGGACAAGGGGCGTGCCACTCCTATGGCATAGGACACCTGCGCCACAGGGAGAGAGAAAGAAAACTATTTAAAACAGGAGAAGAAATTTCTCCAGTATATTCTCTCATCCATTTTCAGGACAGACAGTTCAATCAGAAAGACTCAGCTTCACAATCCCTGTACTGCACAGGGAGAATGAGGACCTGCAGATGTACCACTGTCAGGACCATCTGCATTGCAGATGCAGATGACCTCTTCACGTTAAAATGAGTAGCAGGGACCAGCAACACTTTTAGAAAAACCAACTTTGCCACGACATAGAATCCTGAGTCTGGCAGGCAATCAGCAGCAGAACAAGAAATGAATGGTACTTGTCCATGCTTATCCTCTACCAGGCACTGATGAGCATGTCCACACTACGGGCTCCGGTGGGAGCATTTATGCCAGGCCCCGCATGATCGCACAAGGCTCAGGAAAGTTCAGGAAAACGTGTGTTGTGCTGCAGGCATGTCTGTGGCCAAGCTGTGCGTTTTGACCTGTCAGAGCTGGTCCTTTTGGAAGAGGCACTTTTCAAGCACTGCTGACAGGAGCTCACTGTAGCAGACGTCTGGAAAGAGTGAACTCACCTGTACCAGCACTCTCCTGCACAGCTCAGCCTTGACCAGCGACTTGGCCACCCAGCGGGCAGCATAGGCAGCCGACCGGTCCACCTTGGTGTAGTCTTTGCCCGAGAAGGCCCCTCCTCCGTGCGCACCCCACCCCCCGTATGTGTCCACGATGATCTTCCTGCCGGTCACGCCCGCGTCTCCCTGCACAGACACAGAGACAGAACAGGGTTTATCAGCTGGCCCATAAAGAAATGTGTGTTTGGAGCAGTCCCACTTTCTTCTGGGAAATACAGAGATACAGGTGACCATGCTGGAGAGTTAAGTTGTACTGTACTGTATGTACACTGGAGTTCCAGACCAGCACAGAGTCAATGCACATTCCCATTCACAGCTACATTTTCAGACAACTGCTCTTAGACTAGGGTTTTTTGAGAAAAAAGCTTTTTAAATAATGCCTATCCCATTTACATCCCCTGAAAAGTTTATCAACTTGTGTGATGTTTAGTTACTACAAAACTCTTACTCATTTCAGGGGCAGACTATAGCCACATGACACACAGGCAGCGTTTAGAACAAAAGCTAAACAGTTGGCTCTTGTAAAGGAAGAACTGCATTTGTTATCTAGAGCTATAGGTCAGTTGGAAGTGCAGCTTAAGGATCCACTTTCAGGGTTCAGCAGTTTGCAGATTTCATTATATCATTTGAATGCTTTTGGAACCAAGGAGTGATCTTTCTCCTGTCCTTTGAGCATGAGGCACAGGATAATAGAAGATAATAGAAGATACCTGGAGACTGTACTGTAAATAATAAGAATTAAAACAGGTTTTTACAGCACTGTGATATAGCGATGCGTCTCTTCACAGGAATAAAGAAGGGCTCCTACAATGTTGTATGGCAGAAAGGGGTGAAGACACAGAATCAAAAAGCAAGGAGGGCAGGTAGGTGGTGCACCTGAGGTCCCCCAATGACGAAACGCCCACTGGGCTGCAGGTGGTAGACAGTCTTGTCGTCCAGGTACTTGGCAGGAACGACGGCCTTGATCACTTTCTCCTTCAGCACCTGCTGCATGTCCTCCAGAGTCACCCCGTCATCGTGCTGCACAGAGATCACCACTGTGTGCACCCTCACAGGGATCACCGCTCCCTTCTCCTGCACGTAGTGCACCGTCACCTGGAGCACAGGAAGCGGACAGCGAGAGAGGTGACACAACCCAACGCCACACTCAGACTGGAGCAGGACATCAGAGCAAGGATTCACGCCCTAACTTCTGGGGAGATTTTGCACAATTTAAAATCAAGACTGTTCAACGGTGAAGTCTCTTGAAATCATCAGTGAGAAATCAAGAACTGGGAAAATCTGACAAACCGAACCTCCAAAGACACTAATTTATGCAATTAATCTTGGCCAGGACCAAGACTGGACCATCCTGTTTTGGTGGTCCACAAGTAAACACCAAACAACAAATCTAGTTAAACTATTTAGTGCCTATTCACACTATTCAAAGTCAGAGAACCCCGTGCCACACACAAACCACAGGGCACAAGTCGGAACTATATGGAAGTGCACCAAGTGCAGGAGGTTCTTCTTTACACAATGTGTTGTATGAGAATGGAACAAGCTACCCAGCTATGTTGTTGATGGCAGTACCCTGGCTTCTTTAAGGAAACAGCTGGATGGGATCCTGGGATGAATTAGTTACAGTATTAACAACCAAACATGATTGGCCAAATGGCCTCCGTGTCCACTGTAAGCGTTCCTATGTTAATACGACACTCCAGGACAAGGGTAGAAGGATGCCATTTCATAGCATCTCCAAACTGGACCTTTATCTTGAAATGACTTCAATCACTTAGTACTGATGTTTCAGCTTCCATGGCTAGAACTAACTTGGACATCTGTGTTTCTTCAATGCCAAGAGAAACAGGTGACAACAGCAAATTTTCAACTACATGGTTGGCTGATGAAGTGTTATACAGTATGCAATGTGAGAAGTTACTGAAAGGTTCATGTCCCAGGATAGGAAGGACAGTGTAGCGGCGAGGCTTATTAATAAGAAAGAATTAAGTGTTCTGAGCCTTCCCAAATGAGGCCCCATTTCTCTGTTCATCTCTG